TAAGAGCATCGCCAGTTGGTCCCTGGCTGCTTATTCAACATATTCACAGCTAACCTCCATTACAGTGGCCGTTCCCTATCCGCCACCTGTGACCCGCTGGGTAGGGGATGGTCGCTCCAGCCCGGGCTGGTGGCAGTGATGGAAGGAAAGAGTGTTGTTGCACTCCAACTCAATGCGGTTTGCATGTTTAGATGGCAGCACATTGTTCTTGAGCAACAACATCTTCTCAGGGTTCACTTGAACTGAAGAGCCGTTGGGTGATTGTTCCATCCATTTTTCTTTCTGATCCTGCTGAACTGGGTTTCCAGGTGGTCCTGCAGCAGCCGGTACGTCAAGAGAAACTTAAAGTTTTCATCTGTGAACAATTTCTCTGACTCTCCTAACAGGGATTTCATTGTGCAGATGAAGCCCACAAAGCCAGTTTTCCTTCTAGAATGATAAAAGCTCTTTCCTTTGATATTCTTCAAATTTTTTATGTAGTTTGTGGCCTCTTCGATAAAATCTGACTTGCTTTGTCTGTTTCTTACAGAAATTGGGCTCTTAATACCCTTTGCAATCGGATTAGATGAGTTGCACAGGTAAAACATTCTATCAAATATTCTAATTAATTTAGATGTCGCTTCTTTGTGTGTAAATTGAGGAAACTTTAAAAAATCAAAATTGGCAAAGTCAATGGCCTGGGAAACAGAATTGCTCAGGACTTGAGCGGCCAGTTTGACATTCATTATGTTGTTCTCGCAGTTCACGTTTGCCTTTCAACTTGTTCACCAAAACAAGATTGTCTGCACTGTGTAGCTTACGGAGTTCCTCGACATAGCTCCATCGAATGTCACCACTGCTGTCCGTTAGTACTCTCTTGTCCTTTAAGCAGTTGCGCACATTTTTAAGCAGATGGCAAGAGTCAACAAACAGAAAATACAGCATACTGTTTGTCTCTTTGTGAACAAAATGTGTAGTCATGTCGTTTACATCAAAACTGCAACCCAAAGTTAAGGCTGTGGACTGGTTTGCAAAGTTTCCATCACATGCAACAGCTCTAACACAATGTCCACTCTCTGAAAGGAGACTTATAGCATCGTTTACCTTGTGTGCCTGTGTCTCTGAGGAGGTCTTATCCACAAAGATATGTCCAATAACTTGCTTGAAGTGTTCTTTCAAGCCCACAACCATGAACACTAGAGCTTCTGTAGCCTGGGTCTCCTCGCAGCCTGTCTGAATATGGCCATGGTTAACAGAGCCAAAATATGTGCATGTGCCTGGATCATATTGGTATGCCTTTTTGATGGCCGTGGCATCTAACATCAATGCCACATCCTTTCGATTAGGTGTCAACTGCATTTTGAGGGTGGCTAACTCTTCTTAGAGGAATCCAGGCTGCCCAGCTTCTAATAGTGGAAGGGTCTGGGAGGTTAAGTACCTTTCGTAGAGAGATAGCTGTATGCTTGCGAGCAATTTGTTGCTTAACAAAATACATAATTGGACACATAGTCCTTTACATAACATTGTACTTAAAATAAATCAACTGACATAAACATTTGCATCATATGGAACGGAACTGGAAAAAAATCCATTTATAGAATTCAATTTAAACCTTTCAAAGCTCAATCAGAGTACAGTCGTAAACTTAGCTGTCAGTCAGTGCAGCTGATCAATACGGGTTCTACTAATTTAGTGTAGACCGTGTGTGGATTTTCAAACTTTAGGCTCCGCATCTTTTGCCATCAAGGAGACTGATGTTAGCTTGTTAGTGTTAGGTATATTACAGAGGAATCCTGATTAAGTCACCACTTGGGACTGACGAAAAGTGTTGACTTTTTCCATGTAGTACAGGATCAAAATGCAAGAATTGAAAAAAGGAAGAACTT